TTCCTATGGCACCAGAATAAACAATAATTTTGGTTCTTTGCACATCACCAGCGCTTTCCTAGACAACCCATTCTTTCACTGTCAGCACTCTGGAGTGTATAAACACTTTCAATAAAGCCTTCCAGTCACTCTTGTCTTAGAGGTATATTTGTGCTCAGCTTTTCGGAGGAGATGACAGAAGACACTGGCAAGAAGCACACTTGCACACAGAGTTGCACACACAATTGCTTCCCCACTTTGCCGATCGAACAGGTTCACCTGCAAGAGTGATGTACGAAACCAGACTATCTCAATCCTGAACGGAGATTCTTGCTGTTGTACGTGCTCTTGGAATGCTCTGCTGTTGGGTAAGAAGCTCCACGTGGATCCTATGGATGGAAAAAGTCTGAAACAGTTCAAGTACAATTCAGTACATTACTTGGAAGAAAGATCCATCTTATCACCCCAATTTGTGATATCCCACACTCAGGCACTGTGCCAGAGAAGGCCGTTACAAACTTCCCGTTCTAAGTACCAACAACATAACTTTGCTACTAACAGATGGTAAGTCCATGGTGGAGCCAAGGGCTGAGGTAAGTGTTTCCTACATAACAGGCTCAGGCAATAACTGGTGGCTTCTCCTTCCTTCTCAGCATACTCAGTCATAAAATGTAAGTGAAACAATACTCCCAGGAACACTTTTGGAAATTTTAAATAAAAGGATATTTAGTACAAGCTCTTCAGTCTCTCAGTCTTACATGGATCAAGGCTTGCAGTCATCCTATACATGAGCCTACTGAGGGGATTATTGCTAGAAACTCTAGGCTTTATCCATCTCCAGAATAAGGTGCTGCATATTTCACTGATTTTTCTATGCAAGACAGGCTTTCTCTCACAGTTGTTTTAGAGGGAACCATTTATATATGCAATAAAAAAGCTATTTCACCACATTGCTGAAAATTCCATCACGTTACAGTTTATCTTAACAGTATATCATTTACAATGTATTAATAAAGGAGTACTAAATATTATATTGCTTTTGGCATAAAGAGTACATTATAGGTATTTATAAACACATCAGTAAATGTTACAGACTTTTAAGTAACCCTATTGACCTGTACCATAAATGCTCTGTAGCTACTGATTCACAATATATAAACATTTTATGGATAAACTTTTACAAGCTATTTATAAATACACTCATAGTAAGAAATATGACATACTCCCAAATAGACACAGAAATAATTCATAAAACCCCAAATCATTTCAAGAAAGAGTACAAGTATTTTTATTTGGTTTAGATCCTGTAAATTAAAAAGTTGTATCTCAGTGTACAAAAGTAAAATTAACACAGAACAGCACTTTTTTAAAAAATAATTTTTCATTGTTTTTCAAATGTGGAACTTGACAAAAAATGACCTGAAACAGCCAGGCTGGATGGCTCAGAAGAATAACTGCCAAGCATAAACAAGAAGCATTAAATCTGTTCCTTCTCTTTTTATGTCATTTTTTTAATGTCACAGGTCATTTGCTTGCAGGTATGTACTAACAGGGGGAACACGTCTCATCTAAATGCAGCCATCTCAAAATCAGTTGCCGAAGTCAGTAGTGGCCACCTAGCTAACTCAGTTGGAGGAGCAAAATGGGCACATCCAGAGGACAAGCCAACCCATCCATCTTGTATTGCTTTATCCAGACACACTCAGGCTCCTGAGAGGCCTTTTTCTCACTGGCAGGACAGTCACCCGTGTTCCCTCTCAGCTGGACAAGTATCATGGAGACAGCCACGTGAATAGGTCCCAGTTTTGAAGCCTGCTGTTAAACAATAGCTGCACAGTCAGCTCAGAGTGAGAGATGATATTTAAAGGTTTAACTTGTGAAACTGAGATCTTCAGCTCAGGCAGAGTGTGTCTGTCAACCCTGACAGACCTTTCAGCAGTATCAGTATGATGGTACAGGTTATCATGGGGATGGATGGAAAAGCAGCAGCTGATACTTGAAGGCAATGACTGACCTGGGAAAACTATCTGCTGGATTCACACCTGGGCAGGTGTCACAGCAACAGGAACAGGGTGTGAAGGACTTTGGACCCCAGTGGGTTTAAGGCTTCTGCATCTGTCTTCTCTCAGCAGCTTTAACCCACTGCTATCCCTGCGCTGGGCAGCAAGAGGACAAAGGTGAATTTGTGTCTGCTCCTCAATGCTGGCACTTCTATCTTTCAAGACCATCTGGAACATAGCAGAGCTGTCTCTGCTGTCTACCTTCCATGAATGCAACCTGTTGTTATTATCAAGGGTCAGTAAAATCTTTTTCATAAATCTGGATGAAGTGCCAAGATGAACTGTAATTAATTGCTATGAATATACAACTGCCTCTTGAAACAGTTCAGGACTGTACGGGTAAAATTTCCCATCAATCTAACACTGTGGTGAGGAGCTTTCTTTGGTATCAACTTCTTCTAGCTGGTTCCCTGGTATAACAACTGTGTGTGACTGAAGGGTGTTTTATATAGCCTAACCTCATTATAATGAGCCCTTCGAATGAACATCTGAATGTTCACCACAATTAAGTTGGGGAATTTGCTCCATCAGACCAATGAAAAAACATCTGTGTCTGGGCCAAACACTCATACCTGGTGCAGTAACAGAGTTTTGTTCATGGCCATGAAGAATCAAAACAAATATTTTCGAAAGAGAATAGTGAATACATACAGAAAGGAACAGTAAAGTATGCTTCCAACGTAGATTTACTATGCTTTACGAAGAATAGGAGCTACATCATCCTTGTTAAGATGCCTTATTTTAATAATATTTTTTTTTTTAGTCAGGCTAATTAACAATGCCATAAAGAGTAGCTCTTACCAGTTGGGTTGTATGAGTGTAGCATGACTGGACTCTCCCGTTCTGACACTAAGCTGTGAATCATGATGCACTCCTCCTTGTATTCTAGGCATAAAGCAGTCTTCAGAGCACGAAAGCCTTGTCTACTTTCTGCCTCCAGTCTACTCCTTTGCGCGGAGTGAGTCAGATGGCAAGCACTGCCACCTGTGTCTGCTGGTAACTGCGGGTAGAAGACCAGAAGATGGCAGCCTGCTGGTAAATGTGTGAAAATATTCACTGCTGACACCCATATCCTATGGCTGGGTTTGGCATACAACATCTGCACAAAACCACCTTGTGTGTCTGTCTATGAAAAACACTAGAAAAATCTCAGTAACATATTAGCAATCTCTTTTAAGCACTTGAATACCTAGAAAACAATATAGTAATACCTGTTAGAAAGAAAACATTGCAGAAATATGCTTGTTCTAACTCATGCTGATAAGACAGTAATTCTCAAAAATGCTTAGCTCACATACTCGGCTCACTTCTGAGAGGGTTGACTCAAAATCTGCAACTAGACTGAAGTGCCTGGTGAATTCTCTAATTCTCTTTGCTGCCCTTGAGCTCCCTCTGAACGATAACCATGATGCAAAGCCAGCTGCCCATCACTGCGACAAGAAGCTGGTCTTGCTCTTTTCCATGCAATGACACCGTCACTTCTAGTAGTACTACTTGCAGTGCATTGTACCCTCTAAGTGCAAAGAAAAGGCACAAGTACAAGAGTCTTTTAGTAAAACATTAATCTCAGATCACAGATTTATTTTATGGATTTGCAACACAGCCCATATTACAAACATTGTCTGGGAACATTTACAAGAATAAATAAGATGGACTCGCAGTTGTAAAAAAAAGATTACACTTCACTGTAATGTACAGTCAAAAAATATATCTGATATTCATTGACTTGACATTATTTACCTTCCTTCTTTTAAGCTAGAAAGAAAAGACACTGAATGCACAGTGTTGAGATTTTTGTATTTATATTTTTTTCCTTTTTTTTTCATACGTGCTTTATCTATCAAACATCCAAACTGTACAAGTGAGTTTCACCAGTAATCCATAAAGGCCAAAGGGGGGGGGGGGGG